GAAGGTTTGGCAACAGATAATTGTGACAGATTTGAATGTATTCAACATCACAAGACTGAACCCTTAAAGATGGTTAAAATGGTAAATCTTATGTGTATTTTACCATAAAACCATTACTGAGTATATGAATTGTCAAGGGTCTCCTTTGCACAGCCGTCTCTAGAGCACTGCTCTCTACCTCCTCCATCCTGCCTATATTGTTCCTCATGGAGTCACCTCCTCAATTCCTTCCCTCCAGTCAAGTCTCAGCTTAGAACAAATTCCTTATTGGAAGTGGTGGGGACACATTAGACAGAATCTTTTTTCTTTGCTATTGTAAAGGGTTTGTCAAGTGGCTGACACCTGGAAAAGGAAGAAGGAGGCTTTTTAGAGACCGGTGACATTCCTTTGATCATTGTGACAGTCAAGGGACAGATGTAGCTCAGTGGTTGAGTGTTTACCTAGCATGCAGAAGGCCCCTTCTGCGTGTGCATTCTCAGCATCAACTAGATAGATAGATAGATAGATAGATAGATAGATAGATAGATAGATAGATGGATAGATAGATGGATAGATAGATAGATAGATGGATAGATAGATAGATAGATGGATAGATAGATAGATAGATGGATAGATAGATAGATAGATAGATGGATAGATAGATGGATGGATAGATAGATAGATAGATAGATAGATAGATAGATAGATAGATAGATAAAACTTTAAAAAAAGGAAAGGGGGTGGGAAGGAGGATGAATGAGAATGTAATATGACAATCACACATGTTCAAGTGTCAAGTATTGGGAAGTGGGTAAGACAGAGTCAGGTAGACTCCCAAATCTCCATTGTTTGGCAAACACTTATTTGGATGTTCTGTTTTCTTGTTCAGGTAGCCTGGGCTGAGCTCAGTTGTAGGTCCTTTTCTATTGAGTGAGGGTCTCCTTCTCACTGTATGCCATCTTACCATGGTGCTTAGCATGGTTTAATTATATTAACTCTGCCATTTCATTCCAGAGTACCTACTGCAGGACTTAGTGTATACTAGATTTTCAATATGCATTTTCTCTCTTGATTTGAATTATATTTGTAACTTAAGTATCTTTAAAATAGACATAATCCCTGATGGCTTATCAGAAATGTGAAGATCAGAAAGAGAAATGCTTTTAGAAAATTAATGCACTGTACAAAAATGAAGTTGTATAGTTAATCTATAATGAAAGTTTCACTTGGTCCTATTGAACCAGTTTTATTATTATTTATTCTCATATGCTTTTCTATAGTTAAAATACTACCAATCATAGAGTTCTAAAATATTGCCCAGTAAGGATTAGTGGCTGTTATGGTTTCAGTACAAAGTGTCTTTCCCCAAAACTCAGATACGGAAAGCATGGTCCCTACCTGCTGGCGCTATTTTGGAGCAAGACCCAAGGAAGGAAGTGCCAGAGTCAGGTCCTCAGGGCTATATTTTCTGTGGCCATTTTATGTCCCCCCCCTTTTTTTTCTTCTTGTTCATCATGAGGTGATTTTGCCATACTCTTCATCACCATATGCCTAGAACTAATGAATCCCAGGAGTATAGAATGAACCTTTTGAAACTTTGAGCATGGCTACAGAGACCTAGACCTGACTTGGGTCAGAAGGGGAATGAAGATAAGACAAACAGACACATGGGCAGAAATATCTAGGATTGAATTGTCTGAGCTCTTGGCTAGAGAAACCTTAGCATCCTGGAAAAAAGAGCATTTATTACATGGAGTTGGACAGAGTGATGAGGTTATTGCCTCTAGCCGCACAAGGAGGGTGGTTCTTACACAGAGATAGACAAAGAAGCAGGATTATTGTATACAGCTGATCAAGGAGAGAAGTTGGGTTAACCTTGGAGCAGTCTCTACAGGGAGCAGTTTTCATGCTGTAAACATCTTGAGGGAGAATGGTGGACATTTTCTGCACACAATATGAAATTCACACATGGACTAAAATGATGTCTTGTCATTTTCACATGAGCCTTATGTGGAGCAGGAAAGCTTTGCCATTCCTCCATGGGTCTGAGGAGCTGGGGGTCTTTGAAATGGCCATATCAACAGCACACATTCTCTTAGGACTTTACTTAGGACTCACTCAGGGCTTTAGCCACACCCGACAGAATCCAAATAAATCCTTCCTCATTTAAGCTGTTTATGTCAGATACTTTTGTTTCAGTGGCAAAACCAAGCCAAACTAACTGCACAGAATGTCAACCTTACAGAAGCTGTTTGTTTCTGTGACTAAACCCAACAGCGTTTTACTTAAGCCCTTGGCTTCCAGGAGGATTTGAAATAGCTTAATAGGTGTGCGTGTTGTGAGTGCAGCAGACTAAAACGCCAATATAAACATAAGCAGTAAAGACTCATGAGATCTCAGACGGAAACAAGGACTCCTTGAGGCCACCATGTTACATTCATTCCAGCAAAGAGTTTAACTTGTCCCTGATTGGAGACTTAGGGAGAGCTGAGTTTGAAGATGATGGAAACACATACCTATTAAGCTTTGTTCACAGCATCCTGTGGCTTCTCCACTACATATCTCCAAAGTCATTTAAATCCTCCTGGAAGCCAAAGGCTTAAGAACAACGTGGTTAGGTTTAGTCACAGAAAGAATTCACTTTTCTGAGGCTGATATTCTGTTGGGTTTTGTCACAAAAGTATCTGACCAAACAATGAAAGTAAGGAAGGATTTATTTGGGTGCAGAAAGTTTCAAGGCAAAACAGAAGTCACACTGTGGGAAGTCTTTTGCTAGAGGCTTTTAGCCAGATTCACACTGGAATAGACGGCAAGGGGCTGGAGAGATAGATGGCTCAGTGGTTATAAGCACTGACTGCTCTTCCAGAGGCCCTGAATTCAATTCTCAGCACCGACATGATGGCTCATAACCATCTGTAACTCTATTTCCAGGGGATCTGATGACCTCCTCTAGCCTTCGCAGTGCCAGGCATGCACATGGTACACAGACATACAGACAAACCATCATACATACAAAAATTAAATTAAAAAGAAAAAGACTTAAGAGTGAAAATCAGAGGAGAAAGACGTAAAAATATTATGGTTTGACCAAAATAGCTAACATAGAGTTGGGGCCAAGAAAAGTGTGGTTTCTGAAAATATCAGTGCTATTAAAAAAAAAAAAAAAGCCATGTAATAGCAACAGGATATCTCAAAACTGGGCATAGTTTTAACATCTTAACACATCCAACACACTCCCTTGAGAAGCAAGCAGCTACAGAACTAAGCCCCCTCCCTGCACTTCTACAGGATCCCAAGAAATGTGTGCACTAGCATGACCTTTACTGCGCTCAGTGGCCCAGGCATCCAGAGACCACTGTGGCTGTGCATCAAAGGGGCCTGCGATTATTCCAGCTGGGCACAGACAGTTGCATCACCAACATGAGGTGACTAGCACAGTGTCTTCATTGCGACTGGGTCCTAGTCCTGCACATAGTTCTGTCTTTGGAAACTTGACCTGGGTCTTTTAAAATGACATGTTGTAACTATGTTAGAAGGTGTGAATTGGGGGCTTGATTTATGGGGGGAAAAATGAAACTCTGAAAATATGAATTAAGAGGAATTGATTTGGGTCTATGGGGGATTTTACAAAAGAGTTCTGTATTTCCTATATCTAAAATCTATTAATATTATGCTTGGTATGTCTAAAGCAGGCAAATTAATTGTTATTAGCGTACAGCATAGGTACCAAGTACAAATGAAAAAATAGAAAGTGTTATTTATCTGTTCTCTCAGAAATAAGTGCTATGGCCTTTACATTTGAAGCAGTCTTTTATTGTCAGAATCGATATGTGCTATAATTGAAGGGCTCAGGTGATGTGCTTTAACTTGCAAGCTGAAATAGAAGAAACACATAAGAAGAGAATTATGAAATATTAGAAGCAGCTGATACATTAAAGGCCAGGGAAAAATAATTCTGTGATATATTGCCAAGCAATGCTTTTCAAAGTAATATCTTGGTAATATCTTTTTAATTGAAGGCTAAATTCAAATTACTTATTATAATTATTTTAAACAATAGAATATACTGAATTAAAATGGTAACTACAGCCTCTATAGTTCATCTATTTTAAAATTATATTTAATGTGTATGAATGTTCACTCATATCTATGTATGTACATCCTATAAGTGCCTACAGAAATCAGAAGAGGCATGAGATACCATGAAACTGGAAGGAAAGGGCCACTGTGTAGGTGCTAGGAACCAAGTCTGTGTCCTTTGTAAGAGTAGCCAATGCTGTTAACTGATGAGCCACCTCTTCAGCCCTTCATTCATCTTTCTAGCTCAATTTTTGATTCCATGCATTGTGTATTTTGAAATTTTTTTCATTATTTTTAATATAATTTTTTATTTATTATAGTTTATTCACTTTGCATGCCAGCTGTAGCCCCACCTTCGTTCCCTCCTGCCCTCCTTCCCTCCCTCATTTCCTCCCATGCCCCTTTTCCAGTCCACTGATTGTGGAGGTCCTCCTCCCCTTCCATCTGACCCTAGCCTATCAGGTCTCATGAAGACTGTCTTTTACAGTCTTCTGTGGCCTGGTCAAGCTGCTCCCCATTCAGGGGGAGGTGATCAAAGAGCCAGCCACTGAGTTCATGTCAGAGACAACCCCTGTTCCCTTTATTAAGGAGCCCATTTGGAGACTGAGCTACCACAGGCTATCTCTGTGCAGAAGGTCTAGGTTATTTCAATGAATGGTCCTTGGTTGGAGTATCAGTCTCAGAAAAGACCGCTAGGCCCAGATTTTTTTGGTTCTGATATTCTCCTTGTGGAGCTCCAGACCCTTTCAGGTCTTTCTATCTCCCCCTTCTTTCATAAGATTCCCTGCAATCTACCCAAAGTATGGCTATGAGTCTCAGCATCTGCTTTAATACTCTGCTGGGTAGAATTTTTCAGAGGCCCTCTGTGATAGGCTCCTGTCTTGTTCCTTATTTTCACATTCTTCCGATGTCTATCCCATTTGCCTTTCTGAATGAAGATTGAAAATATGGAACGCTTCAAGAATTTGCATATCATTCTTGCGCAGGGGCTGTGTTAATGTTCTCTGTATCTTTCAGTTTTAGTGTATGTGTTGCCGAAGTGAGCACTCTAGCTCATTTAACAGACATTTCATATGAGAAGAATTTTAAAGTGTCTCTCTAATTCACCCAGTTTAGTTCGCTTCTAGAATGGTTCTTCAAACAATTTAAGGGAACTATTCAATCATTTTCCAGAGTCCTTTGTAATGAGGAATCTACATGGGAACCATTTAACTCATGCTTTACAGGTACCTTATTGTCTCCTTTGGGTTTTGTGCATAACAGCATGACAGTCTTTTTGTGGGCAACAATTGGAAGGAGGAAGTATGAATGGTACAGAATCTTCTGGAAAATTTAATGGTAAAATAGCTGGCTCTTTATGAGTAACTCTGATGAAGGAATTGAAGATGATAAAATCACCAGTCTGAGGCAATGGAAGTGAGATTGCAGCTAGAGCTGTTCATTACAACAATGAGTGTTCTGTTCACTGGGACTACTGGTTCATTGAGGAGCAGCTAACCCACACAACATGGCTTCTCCTGAATTTGATAGCCAACAGAACCTTGAAATAATGTCCTTGGCTTCATCAGATAATTCTAGAAATGGTAGATTCTGAGGCACACAATCATTGCAGCCAGTAACTAAGGTAGATTCTCTAGACACAAAACTGGATCCGTGCTCAATTCTTGCTTGCTATGATTTAATCCCAAGCAATGGCAGTCATACAGAGAAGGGCAAAAATAGCCATGCAAATTAACAACAGTACATTTTAATAGTCAAATGCTTGTTAAGGTTTCCTGAGACAGAACCCCAATAAGGAATTTGTGACCTCAGAGAGTAATTGGATCAGGGTAATTGGCTAGAAAACAAGGGAATTCTTTTAGACCATGTTTGTTTGTGTGAGACAGGGTCTCTGTTGCCCTGGCTGGTCTCAAAAACATACAGATCCACCTGTCTCTGCCTCCTAAATGCTAGGATTAAAGGCACATGCTACGATATCCAGTAGCCCTGGATATTTAAAACAGAATGGAAATATCTCATGTGCAGAAAGTGGGAGAAATATTAAATTAGAAGGAGTAGAGTGCTCAGATTACAGTGTGGTATAGATTCATTGATCCTCCAGCAAAGCGCAGAGGTTTTCTATTAAAGTGAGAGGTAGAATTGATATAAATTCTACCTCAACAGTGGAGCCTTGCACACCTGAGTGTTTAGGTTTGAAGACTGCTTTAAATGTAAGCAGTCTTACATTATATATATGTATATATATATAATGTAATATATATATATGTACACTCCCCCCCATATATATATATATTTATATATATATACATACCTATATATCTGAAAGAGTAGTTGGGCAGCCAAGAAGACTAGGACTGAGGCTTCAGTGCCACTGAAAGCAGACTGCAAGGAAGATGTAAAAAACCACTAAAATCACCTAAGAGAAGTGATGAGGCTCTGGAGCAAGACAGGAAGAAGCAAGGATGGAACAGAGAGTTATTTTGTTTGCTTGCCTGTGGTGGGAACCCAGAACAGACTGGTTGAGTGGGATGCAGAGAGAGAGGCATGCCTGTGTGTGTTTGGGGGTGGGTGCTTGACCTTAACCAGAGTGTGCTTGGCTCACTGAACAAAAGGAAAGTAAGTGGATGGACCATGTGCCAAGGTACTTACTTGATCTCTCTTCTATTTGTGAGTACAAAACATTTGGTCATCTAGCTTGTCAGTATATTCATCCATTTTCATCCACCGATTCATTCACTCATCCAGCAAATATTTATTTTTGATATTGGAAACATTATTTATTATTGGGGTATGTGTGTGCATGCATGCACACGTATGTGCTACAGTGTGTGTTAGAAGCTAGAGAACAACTTTTTAAAAACTATTATTTTATATGTGGCTATTTCGTCTGCATGTATGTCCATGCACCATGTTTATATCTGGTTCCTGAAGAGGCCAAAAGAAGACAGAGGGTTGTGAGCCACCATGTGGGTGCCAGGAAGAAAAAGCACCATTGCTCGCAACCGCAGTTTCCAGTCCCCCTCCACCAGCAATCTTCGGGAGTTGTTTCTGTCTTACAGTGGAGTCTGGGAGACAGACTTGGCTGGTCAGGTTTAGGAAGTGCTTTGTACGTACTAGCATTTCTTCAGCCTAACAAATATATACTGAGTATCAATGTTATTCTGGGCACTGGAAAGGGAAGACTCCACTTGAGAGTGGACTAGATAGCTTCCTTAGGTTGGGCAGAAGACCCCAAGGAAGCCATGAAAGAATGATTAATTGCAGGGTCTAAGAGCCCGCTGATGGAGAAGCTCAGGTCGCCCTATGATAGAAAAAGTTTAGCAAACTTGTGGCCAGGAAGGCTGCTGTGCTGTACTAATGAGCATTGCTGGGGTAGTGAGAACACTTGTTTATCTTTTTAAAATCTGCCACATCACCCAGATTTCAGAAGTGCTGTTGTCCTTGTATCTTTAAGGCATCATGCTAAGGTGCCATGGCTGGCAAGCTGTCTCTGTGTAGGGAAAACCCCACTCCTCTGGGCCACTGGCAGGGATGCCTCTGATTAATTTTTAACTAGCAAATGTATCTCTGGACCACCACCACAAGTGGAAACAGTGAGGAAGATGAATTTGAGGTCCTATTTATGCTTCTTAGTGAAAAAAAGCTGTGCTCTGCTGACAGCCAATGCCATTAATCACTCTCTGGTGGATTTATATGTGGTTTGGCTTGTTTTTCAATGGGGATTCTCTTCACCACGTGAAAGAAGATCCTTTCTTCAGATAAAGGAAATGCTTTTGAGATTTACAGTGACACCAGCCATACTAATTTGCAGAGAAAGGCTTCGTGGGTTGCTAAGAAGAACGTTTATGGCCATAATTTGGACTTGGCTATCATTTTCAAATGGCAGTGTCTGCCTCCAGGTGTGCCCAATTAATCGAAGACGCTCAGAGTAAAGTACAATATTTAATTGGTCTGGAGCATGCTTCTCAAGCTATAGATTGCAACTCATTAGTAGCCGTGGAATCAATCTACAGGGTTGGGATGAGTGTTTTTTTAAAAGAAGGACTAGGACAGGAAAAGAAGTGAAAACTTCAGAGGATATTACATAAAGAATAGGTTTTGTTTTGTTTTTTTTTTGGTAAACTTGTTATTGTATTAATGGGTATATATTACATACACATATACATGTATGCAATGCTGTATATATTGTATAAGTGTAACATGCATCACAGAGGTTTGCCTGTTTATTATTTGTTTGTTTGTTAGTTGGTTGGTTGGTTTTTCAACACAGGGTTTCTCTGTGTAACCTTGGCTATTCTGGACTCGCTTTGTAGAACAGGCTGGCGTCGAACTCACAGCAAGATCCACAGACTTACTAATACTAATGATTCTCATGAGCCTTTTTGAATCATTGTGAGTCACATGTAGTTAGAAGGGACAACTGTATAACTGCATTGAGCTCCTGTGAACAAAGATCAAATGTCAAAGGTTAAAAAAGCTTTAAAAACATAGGCATGAAAAAAGTTCTAGTACAAACCCCTTTCAGTAATATCTTCCATTGATGTTCCAACCTTAGTTTCTTTTTTTTTAACACATTAAACTTAAAACATAAAATTTTAATTATTAAAACTGTCTGGATACATAATCATTGAGCATGTTTTAGCTTACAAACAAATTCTAGGAAAAACAAGAGAGTGAAGTTACCTTCATTTGGATAAATCTGCGTTTGATACATTAAAGGTATCTTAAACCATTCATGTTTTCCAGCTTTACAATGTAGAGAAAGCTCAGTTTCTTTTGATGTTTAAGGAATTCTGCATCAAATACACAGCAAAGGTTGATTTGTTTTCCTAAACTCAATAAACATAGCAAACAGAGGAGATTACACATTTGCCCATGAGGTTCTGTTTTTATACCTGACTGCTTTGTCTTGTGATCTTTGGATACTTGCCATAATAGCCTCCCTTTTGTCTCATACTTAATCACTAATGCTATAAATACTGTTATTCTTTTATTTACAGTATTTTATAACTATTAATATCTTTACTACAATACACTGAGATTATATTTTCAATCAGAATTTTTCATTCTTCTCTAATAAGTAAAAGATAATGGCTGATACTATTTTCTAAGTGAAAGGACACACAAGGCTTGATATATGTTGCACTGCACCCATTCTCTGTTTCTGTTTTGTATTTATTATACTTAATTTAAATGATGACCTTTTAGCACTGGCCTCATCCTTTTCATTCCCCATTGTCAGTCTTAAATTTAGACTTTCAATATGATTAAACATGATAGACAGGGGGGTTTTATATAAATTCCCAGGGTTTATTCAACTATGAAGCGAGTGGACACTGGCTCTTTAGTGCTGTCACATATATCCTGTTTCACATGTAGTTCAGAAGGAGTTACATCATTAATGTGTGATTTGTGTCTTTAGAGGAGCCGATTGAAAAGGTGTGTGGATTAGTCTTCAAGGGCTGGGTTAGCTGGCTTTCAGGCACTGTAACAAAATACTAGGGATAGTCAACTTAGGCTGAGAGAGGGGTTTGTTTTGTCTGTGATTGGTCGGTTCCATTTGCTTTGAACCTGTGTTGAAGGAGTACATCATGGCGAGAATGTGTGGTAGAGGAAACCTTGTCACCTCAAGCCAGAGAAAAAGAGAGAAAAGGGAATAAAGCAAGGTCTATCATCCCTTTTGAATTTGTATCTTCAGACACTTGAGAACTTTCCAGTACGTCCTAAATGTCCTCCTCAAGGGCCCTAGGACCTTACCCCAACCTGGGAACTAAGCCTTTAATCCAGGGTCTTTAGTAGACATGTACTCAAACCATAGGCTGAGTGCACAACCCAGGCTGGGTCTGTCAGGATGAGCTGACATTGGACACTGAAAAACCCTCCATATACAGATCTGGACTGAGAGGCGACTTGTCAAGGATTCAGGGGAGAAACAAAGAATTCTTTTTTGTTTGTTTTGCTTGTTTGTTTTTTTTTTAAACAAAGTTTGCTATGTAGCCCAGGTTACCTCAAACTCTTGATTATTCTCATGCTGCAGCCTCCCACTG